TATATTATTCCAGTCCAACGACCGATTTCAGCACTGGTTTATACTTAGAATAATGTAAACTGGCCATTTAAACTTGCAAAACGACGACATTAAAAAAAATAAAACGTATTAAAAGGAAAAAGTTTATTTTAAAATAAATAAACCATAACTAATCAACAACAATTTTAAGGCTCGGCCTTCCTTCCATTATAATCTGTAACAAAAGTTTAAAGATAAATCATTTTTCAAAAAAAAATATATTCAAGCATCTGTGATGCGATAATCTCAGTCAAAAAAAGGTAAGGGCACTGTACCCGTATTTGTTGACAGGGCAGTGTTTAGGCGTGTGTGCTCGGCTGCCGCTCGCCCCACAGATGGGGCAGCGGAACGCGCGCAGTATGGGACACACCACACGACCCTTTCTATCCTTGACTGTGTGACTTCTGTACCACGCCGTTGATTCACCGTTGTTCTTGCAAAATACACATTCCTGTAAACAATTACAATGTAATACACAAAGATACGGTTGATACAAAGTGTGATTCACTTCTTTAGCGCAGATTTGAACATAACCGGGAAGTCCAAAATTAAATATTATAATGAGAGACGACACACTTTTAGACCATTTGCGGCTTGGCGACTAACCGCGCCGGTGTGATGAGTCGTGTGTTCGCTGCATATTTGCTCATAGAAATAACAGTCGAAAACTGGCAGTTGCCTGCGGCTAGTCTCGCCAGTAAAAAATATTTAAGGCGCTTTTTAATAAGCAAGTTGTACTAACGCCGGGCGAGTTGCGGGGCGGCTGCCGCTTAAGATGATTGGCGTATAGGATGAGCAACGCGCACTGCTGCGGCGTGATGTTCAACCTCGCGCTCTGCTGCAGCGAAGCTAGGCACTCCGCGAAGCCTAACCTCTCCTCCCTGCCGCTCGCCTCTGGAACTTACAACTAACAGAATTATTTTTTTATCAAATGAAACTTGGTCAACTAAGGCCTAATAACCTTTAATTTAAAATAGGGTAACGGCCCTCGGTAAGGACGCATACGAGTTGAAGACACCACAAAAGTAATGCTTTTATTTATGTGTCTGTCAGCAGCAAATTGTGTACATCACCCGTTTGTAATTTGTCCCGGAAAATCGTAAAGCCTCGACAAATTGCATATCAAACGAATTAATTCACAAATTGACAAATATTTCCACACTTTGTAAAGAGGACTCCTCAAAATTTTGCGATCCAAAAAAGACAAATTTACATTAAGTACATATTAGTAGATATGTTTTTTAAAGCAATTGATAATTACTATGTTCATTTGCCTGTTTAATTTGCTAATGTATTCTAATTTAATATGCCGTTTGACTTTAGATTTATTAAGGAACCTTGGAGATTATAGAACATAAACATTAAGATTAGCCATGTACTTTAGTATCAGGTATTTAAAAAGTCATAATTAGCGTAACATTACTATTCGAGTACTGTATAAATTGAAAACATGAACACGGCAAAGTTTTAGTGGCCAGTAATCCACCTCTCTGGCAGAATACAAACTCCTTGCCCACTAAAGAGATCGGATACCCAATTTTTCACTCTATCTTACATTATCTTAATATAGTATTAATATTACTATTACTGAGATAATGAAAAGGTCTACTTTATATACTTTATATTTACATAGTAAAACAATACAAAACATATACAAAAACATAACCTATTTTAGTAAGACTTAATTTATTTAGCAATCTTTGGTGAACGTCTACAATCTATAATATTAGCAATGCCCATAGACGTGTCCTTCACACGCCCATAAACGTTTCTCTGTATTATCTTAAGAAATAAATTACACTTTGTCAGATAGTAAATAAAGAGTAATATGTTGTACTATAATTTATAGGATACAGTTTGACGGGATAATAATCAAAGGAATACTGTATCAGATTGCTAGAAGCAAAATGCCGAAGGCCACAAATGCCCTTGTAAACTATGTACTTAAAATTTACATTATTACCTGATAAGCTTATTAGCTTTTTTGTATAATACTTAAATTAAAGACGCCCACCGTCCTCGCAATTTAATACTAATTATATGAGGTAAATGATCGATATGGATATATAAAGTATCTTAAGGTAAAAGCATCATCAAAATGGTGCTTTCACCAAAAGTTTATCCCGGAAATTTATTGAGACACGAGATTTTACACGAGTAAGAAAGTTAAAGAACAACGACAAAGTTTTGGCTTTTTATATAAAATTGTTTTGACTATAACTTTAAGCCCCCGTTCGCACGGGAGTTTTTTTTTAACGCGTTAAAAAAGAACAAGAACAAAGAAGAGTGATTTCAAAGCTTTTGTACCTTGAGAACCGTCAATGTTTTACGCAGTTTTAAAAAAGCGCTCGTGCGAATGTGGACTGTAGAAACGTAACTTACACTTTTTTTAAATTAAAAATGTAATTACCGTTACAAAACATAGTAATGTTCTAGCAAAAAACATTTCCTGAGGTTATTATTCTGTTATAAATAGCTACATCTGGCACGGGGTTCGAAGACTTTAAAGAGCCAACAAAAAGTTTTGAACTTTGATTGCAAAAACTTTTTTGTAAAGTCACGTGGAAACTGAAGTCTGGTTGGCAACTTGCGAAATAATTGAATGATTAACTTTTTATCAACTAAGGGCCTGTTTCACAATGTCCAAGTCCGGAATAAGCTACTTGGAACTTATTTGGCAAATAAAGTCTTTGGCGTTTCACAATCTTCAAATAAACTGTGATACTCGAAATAGTTACCTTGTTCTTCATCCTGTTCAGGCAAAGAATCAGCATAGTTACAAGCGTTGTCAACAACTCGCGCCTCTATGATCGCTGGATCCATCTTCAAAGCGGATACTGCATCTAAATGCATATAAATACACTTATTTTTTTGACGTCTCATAGTCTCGGATTGCAATTCTCATATCTCATCGTGTAACTGTGCCTTAAAGTGGACAACATTTAACGCAAAGGCAAAACGTAAAAGCTCTTTATGTACAGAAATATTATACAGTATATAATTGATCGCAATAATTGAACTATAAAACTAATGAATTTACTTATTTTTTTAATAGCAAACGGTGGCAAACGTCTAGTTGAATTCGCTCATAATAGCGAAGTGATAGTTGCCCACACACATCGGCATTTGCAAATGCGATACCTACCTTTAATCGACAGAGAAGGGGACAGACAGAGGTATTTCCTATGATACCTCTGCCAAATCTATATTTCTACTTTTAAAACCATATCGGACACGAAAACCTGGTTTTATATAAAATGAAAATACAAAATCGTCTAGATTTTACTAAAGTGAATTAAACGACTTCACTTATTTATATTTTAAAGTTTAACTTTTTATGTCAGCATCATTATTTCATTGAAAAGTTCATGTACCGTTCTATAAAAAAGACAAGTCTGTATCCGCCAAAGCGTTAACAATATTGTTAAAAGAAAAGTTTAGAAACACTAATTCTTAGAAGTGGTATACAACGATAAAATCGCTGTGCCACTTGATGTTATAAACAAAATTAAACATTTTATTATCACCATATATTCGGTTAATATGAGTACTACATGTGTTCCCATAATTTTAAATTTATTCCTTACTGAATAAATACATCAAAGCATAAAGAGTTGCCATTCATTTACGAATACTCTTATCACCGTATGTATTGTAAGACAACGTATTATTGCTTACTGTTGATAAAAATTGCCACTAACTTACCAGATTCATAATCTGTATTTGTTTGTAATTCGTTGTCTTCGTTTTGAAGATTTACAATTCCCTATAACAAATAAGTGTAAACATTATATTTATGCTGGAAATTGTATAACATAGCTGTCGCCCGCGACTCTCTCCGCGCGGTATTAGAAAAAACATTATTACTAGCATATGTGTTCTTCTATATCTATGCCAAATTTAATCGAGATCTGTTCAGCCGTTTTGGAGATACCTTCAAACAAACATCCACCCATTCATCTAAACATTCGCCTTTATATTAGTAAGATAACAAAACCACGTGTGAACTTACCGCATTTATTTCTATTTCCTCGTTTCCACTTAAATCTAAAGTAGTAACTTCTACTTCGGTGTCTAAATTATTTAAGTTGTTCATCTTAATGTATGCAAAATTAATTCACAATCGCTTGTTGCCTACTTTATATTGGTATCAAGTGTTGACCTTCCGTACGGCAACACAGAATTTCACACGGTAACAAAAATTTTGTACCCACATTCATAAATAAATATTGTTAAAGTTCAAAACGTTTTTTAAACAACTTTTAAGGTCAATACAGATTATACAAAAATTGTAATTTGTTTTTATGAGCATCGTAAAAAATTAATTATAGGTACTGAATAAATATAAATATAATACGTATATTTCCTACAAAATATATCCTTAAATTTTGGGTGTACATTAAAAAAATTAGATTATTTAAGTTTAAAAACTGATACTTAATGTTTTAATTCATTGAAAAATGCTGTAGTAGTATGTAGTTTGTACTATGAGTATATTTTGTTTAACGTTGCAAAATTACAAGCATTTAGTATTACTAGTGACATCTAGTACGACTTTAATACACTACTTAATTTCAGCACAAAATTGTTGAAATCAAGGTCGTAGTCCTTCAGATAGCCCACAGAGGGCGCTTTAACAACTTTTAAATAATAGTCGACAAAAGTAAAAATTACTTTTTCTTTTCTTACTTTATTGGCAATATCTGTGTATAGATTACTCTTTTAATATATAATTTAAATAAATGCCCATAGTATTGTATATTTTCACTAACGATTTAGTGTGTCATTACCAAGAAAGAAAGTCAAGTAATTTTTTTTTCTAATTTGCAATCTCATTTTTATCATTTTATTATAGGGATAAAATATCTTATAAAATAACTTGATTTGTTAAGCATTGTTCATACAGCAAGGCAAGTATCAATTATTTCAGCATTGCTGCGCGTCCGCCGTTCGGTCGGTGACAGCTGACAGCGCCACTGCGCGCATTGAGTGCGTAAGCGGCAACGTCAATCGTTAACTCGATGTAACTTAGATCGGTTGTGTTCCTACAGGGCTCATTGTAGTTCGCAACGAAAGCCCTTAACAGTGCCTATTCAAATGTAGTCCCTTTGGTGTTGTTACCTCAAAAGTCACCTTCAGAACTTCGAGAGGATAATCGATGAAAACGTAAGACATTTTTTACATTTTATACAAAATTTATGACAACGAAAAGAACATATTGCACAATTTTTTCACGTTAACTTGCTTTTCACAATAATTTTCCAACATATCGCATTAAATTTCTCTTTAGTATTGCTTGCCTCATTATTTTTAGTGTTACATTCGCTTACTATAACTTTCTCTTGTCTTTCGTGGAATCTGTCAATAAATGTTGATATTTTGCCCTGGTTGCCGCAAAACAAGGAAATAATGAAGTAAAATACTGAGGAAATACATGTTGAATTTATTTACGAATCGCTTTGGCTCTAAATAATAAATATAATGATACGTAAATATGTAAAACGTTGTAGACATGAGGTACTTGACCCCAATCGGTCGGGCTTATATCCGATCATTGTCTCAACTCTACGTTTTGTCAATTAACACGTGGTCCGTGTATTCATATCGCGATGCCAGGCTAACGACAATGATTCAAGTCGAGATATTTACAGATGTATAAAAAAAACTCGCGTACGACCGCGGGAAACATTGGAAAGCCATATACGTATGTTTTATCAATACGAAACGATTCTAACTAATAAGACCTCGATTGTTAGATACAATAATTGTTCCATGTCATTTTCCTGTTGGTGTTGCAAATGTTTAAATTTTTCCACAGAAAAATGTGGTATATTTTGTGAAAATATGCCATTTTAACATTTATAAAAATACTAGCTGTCGTCCGTGGCTCCGTTCGCGCGGTAAAAAAAAACTTAATTTATAGCCAAAATTCATCGAGATCCGTTGATCACTTCTGGTAATATCTATACAAATATTGATCCATACATCCAAACTTTGCATTTTTAATATTAGTAAGATAGGCGAGGTTTTACCTTCAAAATGATAATAAATATATGACATGAATATTATTTTTGTGTATTTTAATCATTGTATATGTATATGTAACCAGGATTCTTCAATCGATTTAAAACGAAAATTTAAATAATCATATTTCAAAAAATAATCTGGCTGTAAAACGTGAGTTAAATTGAAAAAAAAGTTATAGGTGTTTCATATGTAATTTACAGTTGGTTATCTTGTCAACTATGACTAAACCGTAAAACATTTCCCTACTACTTGATAAGATTCGATACGAGATTACAAACATGATTCAGTAGATGTGACATCATTAATCGTATATCCTTCCGTCATAAATTATAGAGCGTTTGTCATACTGAATGGAAATTTATTGCTGTTCCATTGAATTAGTTTAAAAGAAATACAAATATTCCTTTTATTATTGTAAAGGCCGGAAAGTCATTAACTTATTAATCTACTTTACCAGATATAGTTCGTATTTGCTATATAATCATTCAACCAATTAATTTTTTTAACGTAAACATAATACGAAAGGATAAAATAAATTTCTGGTACACGACCATTTTACTAATACTAACACAGAGCTAACGACAACAATTCCACATAAAAGTTAAGATTCCATCCCAAACAAAAATCAATAATAGAGATGTTTAGAAAACACGTGTGAGGCTTTTGTCGGCTACACTTACCGTCGTCCAAACATTTTACCGCCACGATGTATAGATTTCTGCGATTTTAAGGTTCAGAGTTTTAATTTATATATATAATTTTTTTCATTGTTAAATTATCTATGGGGACACATTGACGTAGCAATTGGCAACCCTACATAAAACGATCTCGGCACGTGCTCGTGGCGCCCCCACGGTGACGTGTATCGATTCACTTTATTTTATCGTGCCTTTAAATTTGTTGTTGTGTTTGTACCTTTTTTTTTACTCATTGAGTTTAGAAAATACGTAACCTTGCTTGACGGTGACCTTCTGACGTCTTGTGTGACTTACCGCACCTTTTCAATACGAAACTGTATTATTTATAATTGATATGTAGGTACTTAGAAACGGAATTATTTTTGCGGTTCTTCTGGTGTTACGGATGTCCATGGGAATCGGATCAATTAATATTAGGGGTTCCGCTACTTGTTTGCCCCTCATCTTAAAAATAGTAATGTTAAATATAAAATATGTCTTATTCTATATTTATACCCTAAACCAATTACTAATATAACCAGTTAACAGCCGACATGGTTAATCAAAGCTTAACACAATTGTAAACTTGTATAATGTTTATATGCACAGAACGCATCCAACGCAAATATAAAAATAGAAATAAACGCGTAATAAAAAAAGAAATAAAAATATTTTATTAGGTGAGTGCAATTTTTTTTAAATGTATTATTTCTTAAACAAATATGTAGTTGATATTCAGCCAGTATCTTGTGCCTAAAATTAGTTGAAAACAAAAATAAATCTTTCCACTTTGACGTGCACAGATAAAATATGAATTATAGTTCCACATCATAGCACTATGGAAATATCTTAATGACGTCCGTTTGCACATACGTTATCTGTATATCTTCCCATATATCATAGTGTGTAAACATCATAATGTAGATAAGTTTTATAAAAAGACGTTTTAAGTATTCTGAGAACAACGCAGAAAATTAGAGGAAAATAAAATGATAACTAAATTCCTTGCTGTCGTCAATAGGAATAATGTTAGCCTATGAAAATCGTATATTTAAGCTTAAATAAATCTGCTTATCAATACATCTCTATAAAACTATGTCTTAATTCTACAAACAAATCCCATTATAGTAGTTTCGTATCAATTATACTTTTGAAAAATTTTGCGAGTAAAATAGTTTGATTTCTCACTAGCCATGTTTATTTAACTCTTAATCGAAAATGCTGTAAATTATAAGCGGCGTCATTGATTTCTAATAAATCGTTTGTGATTTTAATGAGCTATCGCCGCGGCCGCACTGTTGCAATAGAGGGGTCGTTTCTACAGCGCTATCAATAACATTGTTATCGACAATTTCTACGCCATTGTGTATTAAATCGATGCGTGACGAGAAACGCAACTGTCCGGAATTTTGAGGTTATAAATATAGTCCTTTGTTGTATTTGTCCCCGACCACAAAACGTACCAGCATTTTTAGTTTTTTTGCCCATATTCAAGACGATAAGGTCTTAAAATCCTTTCGGTATTACCATCACTTATGACCAAATACAATAGAATACAAAGAATTTTGGAATTATATTTTCAATGTCTTTTTCGACGACGTAATAAACCTACAATCTTGCTTAAAATTTAACAATTTATTTTATCTTGTAACAAATAGTTTCGTTCAGTTCCTTCACAGTTAATAATTAGACAAAATTTACAATCATTCGTTGATATACAAAGCTTATTAAATGTTCCATTCTCCAGTTACTAATGATTACGAGGTCCCACCTGGGCGGTCCTGCGCTCAGACGCGGCCATTATGTCTGTCTCGATCTCGAATGACCCTTGTACAACGCTGTTGCTATGCCAACCAGACATATTGTTACCCTCCCTACCTCTATTGTCAATTTATGAAACTATGTAAATATGTTTCCAATTAAAACATAATATCTACACATTCTTTATTATGAAAGTAACCATGTTTTTAGACTTTTTGACAAGCGAACGTGACACGATTAATAAGAAAAGTTAGGCTAAATTAAATAGTTAAAATATAAAGATAATTCTGGCACTGAATTACTGCTGGATTTTTTTTGACGTTTAAATGGCTTTTATAGTAATAAACACTGGATGTAAAAATATGTCTCGTCATGTCGTGACAACTTTTTATTTTATTCTTTATCTCCACTATTCCTTACTCATATCACATTGACACTGATCCGCTGTAGATTTGTCTTGACTTAAATGGCTCAACGTGCTACGTAAATATGAGATAACAGGCGCCGGTCTTAACAAATAATTTAAATATTATCTCAAGTCCATTTGCACTTGACTTTGAGAACAGTTGTTTGTATTAAGGTCAATAGACTCATTATTTTCCAGTTTTCTTAAAATTAAAACTTTTATATTACAACAAGCTATCGCTGCTCTGTGCGCGGAATTAAAAAAGAAAAACTTAATTACTAGCCTATATGTTCTTCCAGGCTATGTTCTATATCTATGTCAAATTTCAGCGATATTCATGCAGCCGTTCTAGTGATACCTTCAAACAAACATCCATCTATTCATCCATCTAAACATTCGCATTTATAATATTTGTAAGATTAGCACGAAGTAAGGTTAGTAAGGATATAATTTTAATAAGAAATTTACGAAGACTAAAATGATAATTGAATACGGCGTTTACGCTGCAAATTGCAATGATTAAGAATTAAATACATTTAAATGTAGACTTCGATGTCGTATGTGGATTGAAGTCACTAGAAAATGTACTAATTGCTAACATGTCGTCCCACTAACTTTTACGATCTGACTGAACTGACACGATCATGTCGTGTGATGTTGATAACGAACCAGTTTTATCGGTCTACATACATTTAAGTCTATTTATTTATGTATTTTAAGATTCTGCCCTAATAGAGAATTTATCACTCTACTAATACATGCTTTAAAATTAGCTTCTACTTTTATTATGCTAAGATTTCTATGTTTAGAGATGTTATAAAGTAGCTTAAGAAAGGCTGAATGAATCTGAACGAAAATACCGGAGGGCTTAGCACGAAAATCTTCCAGAAAGCATTCGTAGCGTAATTGACAAAATTTGTACATACATATTTGTACAGCGCCTGTATCGGAAGTAAAGTGCAACGTCAAATATCATTCAAATTTTAACACATTTTGTTGATGATGTTAAGAAACTTAATCTGAATTAGCGCATAGTGATCATTGTAATGTGCTTATTATATTTCTTACTTAGAAAAAATATTTAAGTTTTCCTCGAAGTCTATTACTTTGAGTACTTGGTCTTTTTACATTCTCAATATATTTGAAGTAACTTAAAAGTAACCTGTTAATTCTTCCTGGGGTTTATTGAATGACAGTAGATTGGTATGCATTCGCTTGCGTCAGTAAGAATGACAATAAGCCGACAATCCTAACAATGACACTTTCTTTGATTGTAAAGAAACGACGAAAAGAAAACAGATTTTTTAAATACCGATATTTTTTTTAAATATGTTGACCTGTTACGATCCTGTGTAGAGTTTCTTATGCTTTACGTCAATGAACCTTTATCTTTTCTATCCCTCTATATCAGTCTAGTTTGCAAGTTCTCTTACCGCATTATTAAAATCACACTTCCATTAATAATATAATTGCATTGTTAATTTCTGTCTTTTTTGTTTTAGATCTGTAGCAGTCTACTAGATTTTTGCCTCATCTTCGCCCACCGTTGCGAACAGTTCCATCCCGATGGGTTGAGTACGCCGACACTACGTGTTTGTGGTCACACCACTGACTTCGTAAGTACAATACAATATTTACTTTATTTTTATATACATAAAGAACGAAATTGCGAGGCAATTAAACCATAATTAGTGGTCTGGTTAAAGGATATATTTTTATTTTGTTTTATAACACTACTACTTTTTACACACTATTTGATATATACCACAATGACATTGGTATGTTGTTTTGTACCAAAGAATATTCTTGCCGGATTTGTAGTAAGGCGTTTAAAAGAAGCTGGTGAATTTAATTAATCAAATTGAATTCGTATAGTATTATAAAATAATTAATATCCTTTAGAAAAATGCAGAGACAATTTTTTCTCTCAATTTTTTTCTCAACGTTCCAAATTATTGACAAAAACTATTTTATCTTCGCAGCAGGTAGACGGATACCGACATTTCTCGAATACCTCCTTATTTATCTCGGTTTCTGTGCCTCGGTCAAGGAGATTTGAATTGTACTGAATTCTTTATCAATAAAACAGCAGCAGTATAAAACATAGCAACAAGTCCATTAATTGTTTTTTTTACTCGTAAGGTGATCCAAAATAAGGTTGCGTTTAAGTTACAGCTGCAAGCTACGAGGTTAAAAATAATATTTTTATTCCTAAGACTGGAAGAGATCTGTATTGATTTTGTGGTAAATTCCGGATTTGTTAACTACATTTATAACTGTTGCAAGCCTTGTTTTCACTTATCTCTTCCGTCAGTTATAATGTCGCCAAGCGAACAGACATTGATAACTTTAAACTCGTTCACCTACACTCGTCCGTCAAGTGACGAGTGAAATCCAGTTTATAATGTATTTCATCCATTCACCTTTATAACACGTTTTGACCTGTTCCGACCCCATCATACCCTAGACCGTTCGACTTTAGTGAGGATGAGTTTCTATGCATCAATAGTTAAGTGCCTTAAACGTACACTGGTTAAAAAAATGATAGTATATTTCATGATGACACCTTAATCTTTCAAATCGCTTTGGCCTTAAGACACAAAGTAGCCAAAGGAAATATGGACATTCATATAATTGTATGAAGATGATTGAATAATTAATGAATTATTTCGATGTGCAGTTTGCCCAGTGTACAATTTGCCAAGACAAATTTAAATCAGTGGCGTACATGATACTTACCCACAAGAATCATAATATGTATCCCGTAATTCCGAAAATAATTGTCATTAGTAACAATAGGGCAAGAAGTTTGTAGATCTAAACTTTAACGCATGGATCGTTCTCAATAGCTTCAATTAGGGCCGGAATGCACTGAGGGCAAGTTACGAGTGCAACGCGGCAGTCGGTCATTGACCCCCTATCCCATTCACCGTGGGAGTGCGTTCACATTCGCCCGCAGCGGGCTATCCAGTACATTCACTTTGCTACTTATAACAGGACCTCCCTTTCCCTACTAACAATGTGATTAAATTAGGGCGTGTGCAGACATAATAAAACGATACTTTGCGCCTGATTCTATTTATTGTTCTCTTTGGATACCGTTTTGGCCAACAATAAAGGCAATGTTACTTCTGAATTGTTTTCTAATATAGTGAAACACTTATTTCATTGGTTTACATACAAAATGGCGTATATTTGAAGAAAGTACTGACATAGTTCACATTATATTTTGCAGACTTAAGTGTCTGTTATTTCGATATTACATTACTACATTTAAAACAATTCAAACATACAAATATATATTGTTCGGAACACAAGAATTCAATTGAAATGCAAATCGATTCATTTTTTACATTTTGGCAACAATTTACTTTTGTAGTCGACCTTGTTGCTACGTACTTACCGAGACATACTTCGACCTTCAGTCATTCTGAGGACTTATTTATAAAGCATCTTTACAAAGAAATTGATGGTTCCCTCGTCTAGACAATAATATAAATCAATTTAATATTACTCCCTCTCTTTTCTACTGGAAAAGAAACACTTAAAACTACGATTACTACATCTGTCTCATTCATCTTAAACTTGTTGTGATGACGTATTTGTAAATATAAATCGTATTTAAATTTCTAACACTGTAAATTGGAAGTGCTCGTGAACTCGTGACATGTCACTGTATCTAAACAAACGTGCCTCTCTATTAAAACATGCGCAAATTGTCACGTAATAATATCAATGCCGCAATCCTCAATTGTATACTATTCTACAATATCATACGTTTGCAGTACAAAACAACTTTATCAAATAGTTCACAATGAATTGCTAAATTCGATATATTATTGTGAAAATTAAGACCAAAAAAACTATGGCTTTTGACTAAGATCCAAAAGATACATTCGTGCAAAGTTATGTCAGTAGACATAATCTATTAACAGTTGAAGGGCGTTCGTGTAATGTATTTGGAACGGTACAAGGTGATGAGATATTGACTATTCGACAAGGAAAAACGTCAATTACAAATTATATAGGAGCACAGTAGAGCGAATTTTCGCAAAGTATCCATCACACAACGAATATTATACAAATAAATTAACTAAATTTTACCTTAAAAGCCTAAACATTATTACATTATGTGCTACAGGTTTGAAGAAAGTATGTATGGATTGTGCTAAAAATAATATGCCTAAGAAATAGGTGATAGAGATGTATGGAAGAGTAGTAAATAATGTGCCGACCTTCCATACGGATAAGGGCAGGTTAAAGATGATGAAATGAACTACATGTTGCCTGTATTTTAATTTATCTCTTATTAGACAAGGAACATCGGTTGCATGGTCGTAATACACCGGATTTGTAAGAAAGGCAGAGTGCGTGTACCCTAACTTAGAGTAGGCTCTCGAACCTACTGCCTAGTAGTACCTTGTACCTAGTAGAACAACATTTTTATTTAAGGAAAAAGTTATCAGCCAATGGACAATGTCTCCGATCAATCAAGAACATTTTGTATGTTTAAGAAATCTCAAGACGTCCATTTGATTGATGTATTTAACTCTTGTTAAGTCATACACTGCAGTAATCGAATTCTAAAGATACAGAACATCTCATACAAGATTCTGTCCGTTCTTAAGCGATGCTGTGAATCTCAAGTGTTTTGTCAATTGAACGTTCGCTTACAAAGCACACTGTTTATTAGCGTAACAGGAAATGTTTTGCGTTACGTTGCAATTGGTAATTCTGAAAGTATAGCTCCTTGAAAATATTTTCTTACGATTGTAATATGAATTTAAAACATATATGGGACTGTCTTTATTAATTTAAAAATAGGTTTATTTTTTATATGCTATTGCCAGACTAAGAAAAAAGAATTTTTTTAGGAATTATATTTTATAACAACGGGCTTATAAAATAAAGAATATTAAAATATATTATTATACTTCTGAAATGATATCGCAATAAAACTAAAAGGAACGTAGTCGTTAAATCGTAACCAATAAAACGATGCTATGTCAATATTCAATATTATTTTGGAATTGCATGATGTAATAAATATAAAAAAAACATTGCAAAGTAAGTTGTGTGTTAAAAATGATAACCTAAATATTTTAAATTAATCTCAATTAATCAGTATTAATTAAGCACATGATTTTTGTAAATTCATTGTATTTGAAGTTATGTAATATTTTTTTGTTTCACTGCAATTCTCTCTTTATTGCGTAAATTGGGGCCGTAATCGTCGCCGTTGGTAATTTAAGCACTTTACGTTTTTATTCGCTACATGCGTATGATCAGTTTCAAATGTGCGTCATAGCGGAAAAAATATCACAAGTTGATAAAGAAATATACCCCTAAGAAGTTTCAAGAAGAAATGTACAAGAAATTAGAAAAAAATGAATGTGAATAAAAGCGTGGGAATCTCAAAAAAGAAATAATGGTAGTCGTGAAAAATAAAGCCATCCATTTTCTTTTCAACTTGGCTTACCGGATTAAAAAAAAAGAAAAAAATGTTTTATATTAAAGTAATAAATTAATAGATGTGATATATAATATTGTCGCGAAATTGCGAGCAAACGGATTTTAAACAAATCGTTTGACGTCGTACAATTTTTATCATATTCGGCAAATTAATTAATGTTTACTATGTGATTTAAGAAGCCCGAAACTGTTATTGTTATGTAAGAATTGTAATCTTTCTATTTGTACGTTTTGCTTACTTTTGAAATTAACGTAGATCCTTTGCTAATACGTTTTGTTGTTTTAAATTTCAGATTCCGCCTAAGACGTTTTTTACCGTGACTTTTGTTAGTACCCGTAGCGGTTTTAGTGAAACCCAAGGCTTCTGCGACCAAAATCTCTGTATAAAATATATCGTTATCCTTGTAATTATTTCTCTCTTAAACTCGGATTTTCGTCTCAGTAACCCACAGTTACTCATCCTCTTGCATCTTCTGCATTTCACTTTTTACGATTTGCATAAAGTATAAGACGTTACTCATACAAAAGTGTAACCATACTTACTTATCCATACTTTATCAGCCATAACATGTCGATAAACATGGCATGTGCTCTTCAAAAATATATTATATACATCATCATAAAATTCATAAAACCAAATATATGGCTCCGACGTTCGCCAGCATTGATTTACTTTAGAAATGTTTACGAATAAGACGGACGTCCTTTTGAAACTTCGTATACCTAGTTGATGTTAATAAAAATATTAATCTTGTTAACTTGTTATAACAACCAGTGCTTCTACGTAACTCGTGTGAGATCCACGATACTCTAAATCAATATTTTTGAATTTCATAAATAGAACAACGAAACTATAAGATACTGATGGTATAAATCTTAGTAACATTATATTTATTGTTCTTAAATATATTTCGTTTAGTTTGCTTTTTGAACAAAAGAACACGTCCCAGGTGAGTTGTATTTGATTCATTTTTAGGGATACGAATTCCGAAAGGTTAATCAATTTAATATTTGGCTTAAACAAACAAATGGCATAAAGTTTGTGACTGCTTTTTGTTTAGGTAAAAATAAAATAATCTGTTAAATATTAATTATAAAAATCATACAAAATAGCAATAAGTATAATTGTTCAAGGCATGGACGA